AAGAAAAGGGACAGTTGCCAAACTAATGGTTAAGAGTTCCTGCTTTGGGGGCTAGGATCATGGCTCAGTGGTAGAGAGCTTGCCTAGCATGTGTGAGGCACTGGGTTGGATTCTCAGAACTACATACCAATAAATAAATACATAAATAAATGGTACTGTGTCTATCACTAAAAAATATTTTTAAAAACTGTTCYTGCTTTGTACCCTAATGACATGATTGCAATTTCTAAATTTACTTTCTCACTAAAAGTAACTAGTGCTCCTAAAAAGAACAGTTGATTCAGATCTGGGACAGGAAATGTATAACTGTAGAATAACACATCATGCCACAAATCAAAGACTATCAATAATTATAAGGGCTTTGCCAAAAGGACAAAGGAGTCAGTCAACTTGAAGGGCCTCCCACTGGCCTGGGGAGGATTTCAGTATCAAAAAGGAYAATAATTATAATAGATTAAAACACATGATAAGTTTTAAAAATCATGAACCCTAATAAAACTAAACATAAAAACTGGTTCACCTTTAAGATGCCAGGAAACCATCTCATAATTTTTAAAACTTTATCTTTTATATATAAAAATTATTTCAGGAAAACTAGCTAAAGATGAGATTCTTTTCATTATAAAATTCTAGGTAATCAATAAAGAATGATACAATTAGAGTATTCTACTTTGCAACTCACAGTGAAATAAAGCATTTAGATAATGATCACAAATGACCACTAAATCCATTATTAGACTGATGACAAATTTCATAACTGGAGGGCCTAATCAGCAACACCTGAACCCACTGACCATTTTTTTTTTTTTTAAACACCAGAGACAACTAACTATCATATGCCTCTGAAACAGGGGAAGTAGTAAGCATCACTCACACACTTTTCTTGGTTGAAAAACTCTAACATGCATTTGATCAGTTCTCTAGATTCCAACTAACAGTTCACAGGAAATTCAGTAGCCACAGGAAGATATTAAAAGGCACCAACCAAGAGGATGCAATCAGTGAAATCCATACTGTGAAAAGTTCTACAGAAAAAGCAATAAAAGAAAATTTTTTAAAAGGAGTAGAAACTGTTAGTAAATAAAAAGCCTTGCAACATCAGTCAAGTGCCATGTATGGCCCTTGTTGAATACCGACCAGAACTGAGACATTTATAATGAAACATATATGGGACAACAGAGGACATTTGAATTAACAGGGTATTTGAAATAATGAAATAATTGTTAAAAAAAAAATTGGTGATCACCTAATTGCAATAACATTTTTTTTTTTAAAGGAGGCTCCTAGCTGGGCATAGTGGGAGGCACATGTCTATAATCCCAGCAATTTGGGAGGTTAAAGCAGGAGGATTGCAAACTTGAGGACAGTCTCGGCAATTTAGTGAGACCCTCAGCAACTGAGAAAGTCCCTGTCTCTAAATAAAAAATACTTAGAATGTCCCTTGGTGGTAAAACACCCTTGGGTTCAATCCCCAGTAACAAAAAATAAAAAGAAGGCTCTTATAGAAATTAATGTTGAGGATTATAGATAATATTATCTTGGGCTTGTTTAAAATAATTAAGAAAGGAGGTAAACTGGGATAATATCAAATTAAAAGCTTCTGCACAGAAAGGAAACAAGAGTGTGAAGAAAGAACCTATASACTAGGAGAAAACCTTTGCTGGCTACTCTTCCAAAACAGATTTAATATCCAGAATATATGAAGAACTAAAATAACCTAGCACCAATAAAACAAAAACCCAATTAATAAATGGGTAAATGAACTAAACAGACATCTCTCAAAAGAAGAAACACAGAGCTGGGGTTGTGGCTCAGTGGCAGAGTGCTTGCCTAGAATTTGTGAGGCACTGGGTTTGAATCTCAGCRCTATATATAAATAAAAAATAAAGGTTCATCAATAACTAAAAAAAAATTAAAAAAGGAGAAATACAAATGGCCAACAAATATATAAAAAGTTAAACATCTTTAGTAATYAGGGAAATGCAAATCAAAACTACATTGAGATTTTATCTCACTCCAGTTAGAATGGCAGTCATCAACAATACAAAGAATAGCCATGTATGATACACATCTGTAATCCTGGCAACGCAGGAGGCTGAGGCCGGTTACAACCCTCTGGGGAAGATGGCAAAGTGGCCTTCCTGGCAGTGCTGTCTAGACAGCTGATCTGAATGCCAAGGATGCTGAAATACTCTCCATTTACTAACTAGATGTAGGCTCATTCCAAATTATGTGGAAGAGAGTTCACTTGGCAAGTATTCTGTTCTCTATAGATCAGCAAGTGTTTACAATGTTTTTATACTTCCAGATTAATGGCAGAGGAAATCTTGGTTTGAATTCTATTGTTCTGCTGTTTACAGAGGCAGCAAATCTTTAGTGTCTAATTCTGGGACCTAAGGACCCATAGCCAGAAGAGGAGAAGACAAGGCCTGTTTCTCTTGCTCGCTCTGCCTTCCCAGAGGTTCTTCTTGATCCATCGAATCATTCCAATCCTTAACATATGGCACCCTTCTGGGGGTTCAAGACCTCCCCAGGTGGGGCCGAACTGCAGAGACTGCAGGCTGGGGGAAAGGCCTTGGAGAGGTCTGAGCTGACAGGCCGGGTGGGCGAGGGCCAAGGCAGCTGTCTGGGCTGACCGGGCTGAGTGGGCGCGTCCCGAGGCTCCGGACACACAGGCAAATATAATTCCAAATAAATAAAGAGTCTTAAGTAAGTAAAGATAAATAAAAAGTATTAAAAAGAGGGGTGGGGTGAAAATCCTGGAGAGGAGCCCTGGAGGAATTGGGGGGAAAGCAGGGTGAAAAGGGACACGTCCAGGAACCCGCAGCGCTGAGTAGGAGACGCCTGGGAGCCGCAGCCTCCGGGAGGGCGTGAGTTCAGGTCGCGCCGGTCCCCAACCCGGTGCTCACCAGTATGAGGGCTGCGGCCGCCAGTGCCACGCAGAGCACCGCCAGCTGCAGCAGGAGCGGAGCCATTCTCCATGCCGAGCCGCCACCTCTCGCCCTATCCAGCACCTACACACACGCGGAAGCGCTCTAGGAGTTCCGCCTTCCGCCTCCGAGGAGGACGCGCCGGCCGGGCGCCCGCCGCCCACAGCGCCCCCGCGCGGCCAATCTCAGCCGCGGCCCCGGAGCCAGCGCTGTTCACAGCGTCCCCGCGCGGTCAAGCGAAGAACAAGCAGCTCGCTTTCCAGATTAGCAAGTAAAATGCAAAAAGCCTACTTAATTTGCGTTTCAGATAAACAACAATACAACTAATTTTTAAAAACATCCTTAGTGAGATATATTTCATATATCATACAGCTCACATATTTAAATATTTTGGTTTGTTACATTAATTTTCACAACTTTTATTGGTGCAGTGCACTGTGATTAAACAGAATAGTAGGATTCATTAAGACTCATTAGTACGTGCGTATACTTTGCTCTATAGTACAAATTTGAGTACTCACCATTTTAAATGTATAATACAGTAGCATTAATTATATTCACAATGCTGTGCATTCACCACCAATCAAACTTTCCCTGCTCCCCCATTCCCAGCACTGATAGCAACTAATAACATGCACTATTTGCGGGTATAGTCATACTAAAAAAAAAAAAAAAAAACTGTTCATAATGTTAGGTAGAACTAGATACAGTAAACACCGTTTTGAAATATATCCTCCATCTTAGCACAAGAGCCACCTCACAGTCACTCTGACTCAGCCTGATTTTAAACCCCAGACAATACATCATCATGCAAAGAAACCCCAAACAAAACTTCATCATCATACAAATAAAGGAAATTGTTGTCTGGGACTGAAATACTGAAAACACCTGGATGGACATGGAATAGTGACTACCTCAAAGAATAGAGGGGACAACCCAAAGAACCTTTCATTGACAATCCCCTAACCGCAAAACTCCCTCATGCCGCTGTTATCTACTCCAGGCTGTAAGTGGAAGACAAGTCTCAGTCTCCGCTGGGCCCCTTCACTGGTTTGTCCCGAATAAACCGGTGTCACTGTTGAGCTGTCGCTCCTCTTTATTTCCTCACTCGTTTCTTTCCTTACACATAAGGCATTCCCATCTGGCCAGGTGTCCAGCATTTTACCTAGTAATCCTGCCTAGGAAGGAGCTGAAAGCCTTGTCACGGCAGTCAACCGCTGAGAATGTGAAAAGTTCGCATTTCTCAGGTGCTGGAGCGGAAAGCCGGTAACCTGGGGAGAGGCCATCCCAGGGGCCAGCCTAAGACCGGCGGGAAAAGGACGTAGAAACATTGGAATGATGTTTCGTATCAACAGACTTCTTTGCTATAAACTCGGTTTTCTTTTAAATTGTTGGCTTTATTCTGAACTACAAACCTTTTTCTAAAGAGGGACACTAGTCTAATAGCAGATTCGCTAAAAATACGCCACAGGCAAGAAAACCTAGAAAGGCTCTCGCTAGGGTAGGGCGGTGCGGAGCGCCACCAGGACCAGCTTCGCGGAGTCCAGTCTTCCGATCTCCCTCCACGGGAGTGCCAGGGAGCTCGCGTAGAAAGTGCGACCGCGGAGCTGGCGCGGGCGGGAGGTCTGCGCAGGCGCAGGCGCGCGAGCGGGAAGATGGCGGCCGGGTTCAAGTGAGTGTTGGCGGCCGGCGGGCCCTAGCGGTGCTTCCAGGCGGATGGCGGCTTCCCTTAACCCTTAGTTCAGTGCTCTGTCCTGGAGGCCGACTCCGTCAGGGTCTCGCTCCTTTCCTAGGCGACGGGAGAGGACCCGGCGGTAGTCGGGTGCCAGGAGAGGCGCTTCTTTCCCCCACGCGGGGCGGAGTAGAGGGTTTCTGTAGAGCCCGGTCCCCACCGCGCGCTAGGAACCTGGTGCCTCGTGAGCGCACAGTCCAGGGAGGTGCGGCTGTAACCCTTTAAGCCTCGTGCCGCCCGGCTTCCCACTTCCCGTAATTTATTTCTAAAAGAATTGTGCCTCCCTCGGAAGATTTCACTCTTGGTGCCACTCTGGTGAAGCCTGTGGACTGTCAAAAGTTTTTAAATGAGCGAAATAAAGATTCCAAATCTTATTTGGAACAAGTGATGCTGAAATAGTTATTTTTGTACTCGGGTTATAAACCTTGAACAAAAAAAATGTAATGGCGAGTGTTAGTGTTGGCAATTTCAAAGTAACCGTGAACATATCTCCCACAAGTACAAAAACGAAAACATTTATGATCTCGGTAGATATTGAAGTTGCAGGTACTGCTATTCAAGATTTATTACTTTGTAGCTATAGTGGAATAATATGCTAAATTTCAGTTGTAATAAATGTAAAGATCCTTTCTCATGAGCACTAGGTTAAGAATCCCCACTTCAGAGCAAGAATGACATGATTATTTTAACGACCGGATTAATAATCCTCTTTTAAAGATGTCTCAAAGGGTTTTGGATTGCAATCCTATGATTGAGAGTTAAGGACAATAGTGGAATGTGATTGCTACTGCAAGGGTATCTACTTTCAGTAATTACTTATAGGTGTTAACAATCATTAGAATTCATGAAAAAAAAGTTACAGATTGTGGTGATGTGCTGCACATCACTTAAAATCTGCTAGATTTTGGATTTATGTAAAGTGTCATTAACTTACAATAGTATATTTGTAACACATTTCAGAACTGTGGAACCTATGGAGTATTACAGGAGATTTTTGGTGAGTAAAGTGGTGATGCACATGTTACTCCTTTTGGTAAAGTGTTTGATAACAATATTATGCTTCTTTTAAAGACAGATTCATTTAATTAATTTGAATTAATGAGGTCTAATATGGTTCTCTTGTTATATGTAAAATACACATCTATTTTCCTGAAAAAAAYGTTTAGAAAGAAAACTGTCGTCCTGATGGAAGAGAACTTGGTGAATTCAGAACCACAACTGTCAACATAGGTGAGGGTCTATTTTTATGTCAGCTTGTATGGCATTCCCAAGTTCTTTTTTTTTTTCCAAGTTAGATTGTACCATGTTTATGGGATTTGAGGATATTCTGTAAAGAGATTTCTATCTGTACAATAGCCCTGTGACTGAATAAAAATTACTAACATAAATTCAAGGACAGGGAAATCTTAAAACATTAGGTAACTGAAATATGTTGCAAAATAGTCATGTATTAGAAACACAGTTTATGTATAGATAATGCTATAGTTGTTTTCCCTTTAAGGACATTTCATTTTGCTTAAATACTGTACTTACGTTTTCAGGTTCAATTAGTACAGCAGATGGTTCTGCTTTAGTGAAGCTGGGGAACACTACAGTAGTTTGTGGAGTTAAAGCGGTAAGTTTAATATGTCTTGTTGACATTTGACATACTAAATCAGCTTCATATAATTATTAGATAGTATTATACATTTGTAATTCTGCTGTTGATTACAGTCATCTGTTAATTTTTTTGTATTAAGTATCCTAGGAGCTTTTACCCATGAGTTTTAGATAATATGACCCAAGCTTAATAGCTTATGATTCATGAATATTTGAAAAATGGCCACAGTAAAACATAATCCTCATCACAATTAAGTTTTTAAAGAATTTGGTTGTATCATTTGAGAAACTAATAGGGTGATGCCTTCTTAGCCAGTAATAATGTTTGTAAATGTGCAGACACTTGAGATTGTTCAAAAGAAAAGTTTGAGGGAATTAACTGAGTACCTGAGGTTTCAGGTACCTTATTAGGTTGGGTACAGAATTATCTAGTTTCCATTTCCTGTTTTAACATGTGGTTCAGGAACTTGTCCRGACACACAAGGCTCATAAATAGAACTTGAGGCATAAATCCGATTCTAAAGTCTTTGCTTTTTAACTTATTACAACCTGTTACTTAACCTGATTTTCTTCTTTGGTAAAGTTGGGGTGAAATTTTCAAGATTTGAGCTTTTATTTCTTACCAGGTTTTATGCTAGGGATTTAATCTCCTTATTTTATTTGATCATCATGAACAACCCTAAAAGTAGGCAGTATTAAATCTCTCAGTGGTCTGACATTCAAACTGGGTTAGTGATTTAAGAGCTTTGGTTCTTGACCTGTATGCTAGTGGTGCCTAAATCTGGCTGGTAGTATTGTCTGAGGAATAATTTAGATTCTTGCCTACTGAATGAGTAGAAGGGTGGGGCAGAAACCCAATTAATCTTTTTGAAAAGATCCCTAGGTAATATTCTGTACATTATTCTTTTTTAACTCACAGAGGGATTGTAAGGTTTGGTGCTAACATTCTTAGACCCTCRGACACAATTCCTCAGACATAGTAGATGCTTATGATCTGGCAATTAGCTGAGCTTGTTTTTAGTAGAGCTTTTCATAACTGTACAGTAAACTGTCTTCACAATTTTTTAGTTCCTTCTTTCAATAGAAAACATTTATTTGCTTGTATAGGAATTTGCAGCACCACCAACAGATGCCCCTGATAAAGGATATGTTGGTGAGTTCAGTGATTTTATAATTTTAATATAGTTTAACACATTTGATACTAACAATTCTTGATAAKTCCTAGTAGATGCTTTAGACAGCAATTCCTAACATTCAGAAATACAAGGAGTAAAGCATATTCTCAAAAAGTTTTCTGTGTCAAAGTCAGCTTTGAAATGTAACTTTTTGTCAAACTTGGTTATTTGTTGTGTCATCAACAAAGGAAACGGAATTTTTTTAGTCAGAGGGCTGTCATTACAAAATTTGTTTTCCCTAATACTTGTTTTTGTTGTCTTGGATGATCTGTTCTTTATGGTAGGAGCCAACATTGGGGGKAAAAAAAAGTGCTTGCCAAACATGAGCAAGGCATTGGATTCAATCCCCAGCATAACAAAAGAAAAAAGTTGGGTGTAAACAGTTTATTTTGAAATAAACCAGGAAAATTTTGGTGATGGATTTATTAGGATGATTGTATCCTAACATAGATGTTTAAAAAATTTAAAAAAGCTGGAAAAAACATCAGGGAAACAATTTCTTTTTAATCCTGAGAGTCTTACAAAGACCAAAAAGAAGGTAATTATAATGTTACAATGTTTTCCCCTTGGATAGTCTATTCATGGCCACAGTTGCCTTTACTATGGATTGATACCTTTGACACTTTAGTAAACCAGAAGATGAAGTTTAATTCATAGCTGCAGAGTGTTTCTTTAAACAGTTCCTAATGTGGATCTACCACCCCTGTGTTCATCGAGATTTCGGTCTGGACCTCCTGGAGAAGAGGCCCAAGTAGCTAGCCAGTTCATTGCAGACGTCATTGAAAAGTAAGACTATTGATAAAATTTTACTGTCATTCATTTTCAACGTTTTTGACCTTTCATTTACTGTGCTATTTGTCATTAAATCAAGTTCACAGATAATTCAGAAARAGGACTTGTGCATTTCTTCAGGAAAGGTAAGATGTATAGAGAAGCAATGAACTTATATTAATTCAGAAGGGTTTGTGGGGATACAGCAAACAGGGCAATTAGAAGAAATCCTGATAGCCTATGTAGGCCTTTTAAATTCTAGATGGAATTCATTTAAAATCAGTCTTCCTCTGTAATTATCAAAATAAATTGTTATTCATAAAAAAACAAGTTTGATTGCCTGTCAGCTCTTTAAAGCTCATTTCCTTCCCTTAATTTTTGAAGAAAAATGTAGTTATCTTTTATTTTTTTTTTAAACTGATTTTTGATTGTGCTAATGTGTTTAAAGTTGAATGTACATGGTGGATACCAAAAGTCTGAACACTTAAAACTAGGCTGAGGAGGACCTAGAGATTTTCCTCTTAGATTACATACAGTTAACATTTTAAAACCTAAACATTTCCTATATTGAAATATCTGTGGGAAAGTACATTTTTGAGTTTCAGATAGGGCTTTCTAAAGTACTTCCCTCATCTGTTAACCTAGCAATAAGAATGGATTTCTTCATCTATATCTCCCTTGAGGGGAATGGAGATGTTTGTCACTTATCAGGTTGGTAATCAAACAAATTTTCACTTTCTTTTTGTTTCCTCTTTATAAAGGTCAAACTTYTAAGTTTTTGAGCCTTGAAGTTTATCTTGTTTATTTAACAAAGGGYTCTGTGATTTTTAAATCCAATCAAATACTGCTTTCTGTCCACAGTAAGATTTCTTTTTTGTGCAAACCATTTTTAGCTTGCTTGGGTTCTATACTGTGATCTCATTTGCCTTGACTATGATGGAAACATTTTGGATGCCTGCACATTTGCTTTATTAGCAGCTTTAAAAAATGGTAAGCAACCATAATAAAAATTAGTATTTCTATTAATGGGGTCAAAATTCTATTTTGTGAAAACGTTTTATATATGCTCAATAAACTTTCAAAGATTTCTAATGTTTAGTTATTCGTGTGTTCTAAAATTAATGAAAATTGAGGGAATGATAGTTGTAACCACAGTTTAGGTCAACAAGTATTTTTTAAGTTCTTTGTCAGAAGGGATATGATGGATTCTGTTGTTTTTTTACTCTGAGGCCATAAATATAACCTTTAACTGTAAAGTTTCTTAGTAAGGAATCTAGGTAGTGAATCGTTAGGGGATATGCCTAGATATTAAAATCCTATCATTGTATTACTGAATTGATAACAGATAATTAGAGGAAGAAGATAATATAGTAATATTACAATATAGCAAATTTAGTATAGGACTTAAATTTGAGTTCTGGCTTTACCACTCTGAGCTGAAGCTTCTGCATGTTTATTAAAAGGGAGATAATACTTTTTATGAAATGTTGATTAAATGAATACAGAGAAAATTCTTAAAATAGTATCTAGCATGTAGAAAGTGACTAGACAATTCTTAATTTTTTTTTAAATTAACAAGAGCTAGGCGGGAACATCAGATGTTTTTGAACAATATTCATCTCCACTAATAAGATTATTAATGTTCTGGTSAAATTAGAAGAAAAAATTAACTCAAAAGTAGAGACTGACTTTACAAGTTTCTCTTTTCTTTAGTACAGTTGCCTGAAGTTACTATAAATGAAGAAACTGCTTTAGCAGAAGTTAATTTAAAGAAGAAAAGTTGTTTGAATATTAGAACTCACCCTGTGGCAACTACCTTTGCTGTGTTTGATGAGTAAGTTATTATTTTGGTATCAGGGATTAAACAAGGGGAGCTTTACCACTGAGCTATACCCCTAGCCTTTTTTTTTTTTACTTTTTATTTGAGACAGGATGTTGCTAAGTTGCTCAGGCTGGATTGGAACTTGCAATCTTCCTGCCTCAGACTGAGTTGGTGGGATTACAGACATGTGCCACTGTGCCTGGCGAGTAAGTTAATGTATTTTAAAATTTTTCTATATTCAGTGTTAAGGAAATGGCTTGTTATTTTCAGCTTTCTCTCAAGAAATTTCTGTGGTGGCCATAACACCCTATTTTGCCCTGGGCAGTTTGAGTCCCTGCAACATTATTTGTAGTCACTCCTTCCACTTGCTTCATGTGTGTTCTCTATGATGTCTTTAGTATTTGCCAAGGATTTGAATACATTAAAAAACTGAACAGCTAAGAATTTTTTTCAAGTATTAGATTTTAAGTTACTACTTAATTTTTTGGTTTTTTACCAGATCTATTCTAGCTCTTTTTATACCTGAGCTAAAAAGGCAAATAGTATGTTTAATGTTCTTTTAAAGAAACAGTTGGCTGGGTTGGTACATGCCTGTAACCCCAGTGATTCAGGATGCTGAGGCCAAGTGGACTGCAAGTTTTTGAGGCCTGGTTCAGTGACATAGTGAGACCCTGTCTAAAAACAAAAAGAACTAGGGATTTAGCTTAGTGGTATATTGCCATGGGTTCAATTTAAAGAAATAAAGTACTAAAATTTGTTATGGGATAACCCACTTTTTTTTCCCCCCTTCTTTTTAAAATAGCACTTTGCTGATAGTTGACCCTACTGGAGAAGAGGAGCATTTGGCAACAGGAACCTTAACAATAGTAATGGATGAGGAAGGCAGACTCTGTTGTCTTCATAAACCAGGCATGTTCCTATCCCTTCAAGTCCTAAACATATGTAAATGGAAGCTCAGTAAACTTTATTAAGGTGGGCGAAGTGGAATGAGGGATATTTTATTATTTACCTAATGTAAGGTTACTAGTTTCTTTGCTACTTCAAGTTCCTTACACTTATGTATTGTATATGGCAGTTCTTACATTTCTTACAACTTATGTTGTAGATCAGAATCTCTTGGAGGTCATATTAAAATATAACTTGCACGTCTTGAGACCATAATTAACGTTATCCTATTACTTTTATAATTTGCTATGAACTTCATGTTTTATAAAAATAACTGAGTAATTATAATTGTTGGCACAATAATTTTTCAGGTGGCAGTGGACTCACTGGAGCTAAACTTCAGGACTGTATGAGCCGTGCAGTTACAAGACACAAAGAAGTAAAAAAACTCATGGATGAAGTAATTAATAGTATGAAACCCAAATAAAAAGTCACATATTCCGAACAGATTTGTAAAAACTATATTGTTACACTGTGCACAAACTTTTTATACTAAATAAATATCAAACTACATTCTTCTGAAAGATGTTTCTAGTATTTCTTAGGCCACTTCCATATATATTATGTACAGTGAAACCATTTTTAAAAAGCAGTGACTTAGGCAAACCAACCCTGGTTCCTTAAGCCATTTCCCCATTTTTATTTAAAAATCATAGGGTTGTGCTTCTGTATAAAGTTTGTACATCTAACAATGTAAAATACTGACACATTTTTAAAAATGAAGTAGAAACAATTATTTTGATTCAATGCTGTTGTGTTTTTAAAAAGAAAAAAATAACTCATAATTTTGGAGTGGTTGGTGTGCTTCTCTTCATTTTATTTTTTGACTGGCTGCCTGTATGCCGATGACGATGTAGCTGAGCTGTTTGTGCTGCTGCTGCTGCCATAGCCATTTGATGCTGCAAGAATCGCAACTGCTGCAAAAGGAAAGAAAAAAATCAAGTTATGTTAAAGCAGACAGATATGGAAAGGTGCTTTTTCTGAGAGTGATGAAAACAACACAACTGAAAGGGAGAAGGCACCAAGATAACAAAAAGGGACTATAACACATTGAGACAATGCACAGTCAGACAGCACCAGTGGCACAGAAGCCTGCTGAGGGCTTTAAAAATAACTCTTGGCAAACTTAAGGATTACTTTGCCCTGCCAGTCTATAATGCAGTAACTCAGCAACTTCAATTACCATTTTGTTTTATAATGATAGTTTATAGCAATATGAAACCACCCTGAATATGAAGATTGTCAACTCTAATATGCTGATTTTCCTTCCTAAATTAATAACATTTTTCTAAATGAACAGGTATGACATTGACTAATAGGAACACTTTTCTGCAGTACAATATCAGAAAGTTAACAATTGGCACTTAAAACTATTTCAAAATATACTACAAACGAAAAAATATATGGTAAGATGCCACCAGCATGTCAATAAAATTTTAAATTAGGAAAAGAGTATGGCTTAAATGTACAAAAATACATCCAGTGCTCCAAGTTGACTGGCTAAAATGTTAAGACTTTCAATAAAAGTTTACTAAATTATTTACCAATTACAGTCTTATGAGACAGTGAAATTAAAGCAAGATATTTTGAGGTACTTTTGGATCTGAGTATCAAAAAATGTATCAGAGTGAAGTTGCTGGATTACTTGTATCTGTTGCTGCTGCTGTTGAAAGGCAGAGGAGAGCTGGAATCTCTGCTGAGGAAGGCTTTGCTCAGGTCTGTTCTCGGCAGAGCCAAGCTGAGACAACACTACAGAGAGGAGAAGGGGAAAGCAGGCCAGTCAAAAAGTTTGAAGGCTACCAGAGTTAGAAAAGGACAACACAGGAAATGAAATAGAAAAGTTAGCAGTATGATTAATCTTAAGTATCAAATCACAGACATTTCAGAATAAATTTAGTCTCCTGTTAGTTGAGGATATCACCAATTATAGAACTTTCTGGACAAAGAAAGGTAAGGGAGTATATGTGTGCCAAAGCACGTTACCCACTCTCTTGCATCTCAATGTAATTTGATACTGGTGCTATTTTATAGAAGTATTTTGTACCATATAAAATAGAGTATTTTTAAAATATACTCAATGAAATAGGAAAAAGGAGATGAAAGAAATCCAAACTAAGGATACAGCTGGTAGACAAATGCTTTAAATAAAGGATGTAATGAATGTGAGACTATTTGCTTAATGATGGCTAAAACCTATATTTGACTGGGACCACAGTAATCAATTCAACACTTCCCTGTACAGATGAGAAGATTTAAGGAAGGCCTACATAGTTTAACTCAAAGTAATTATTGCCAAGTCTGGAGTCTGAAACACTTTATGATTTTTCACATGATTTATTTCTACTAAATTACACTACAGCTATTTTAGAAAATTTATAACTGTGTGGTAAAGATATAAAATCATAAACTTCCACTTGGAAACTTTACGTATGAATTATCTTCAAAACAAAGACCTTGATTATTCCATCCTAAAGGACTTTGAAATTCAGAAACTGGGAGTTATAGTCAGGAATGGTGGTGCAGGCCAGTAATTCCAGCAACTCGGAAAGCTGAGGCAGAAGGATTTTCATTTGTCAGCCTGGACAATTTTGTGAGACCCTGTCTCAAAAAAATAAAAACGACTAGGTAGGGATATAGTTCAGAGGTGGTGTGCTACTGGGTCCAATTCCCAGTATTACCAAAATAATAAAGGCCGGGGAGAGTGCTGTATAAAAATCTACAGACATTATAGTAAGCCCACAGGTGAGAAAATATTGACAACACATTCATTAAATTTTCAAACTTTGTATCAGAGTTTTCTTACGCACATGACTTAGTATTTTAAATAATGTGAAATTAGAATTATTGTCAATTGTTAAGACTATTCATTATTTTCATTTTATTATTTATTGCTGGAAGCACTGAGTAGTCTCTCAGTTTAATTCTTTTATTATTTTTTTTAACAAATGATAAAAGTGGCTTACAGAAGTTATGCTATGGTTAAGATTTAAGTCATGCAATCACAAACTATCAGAATGAGACAAAAGACTATGCATTCTAGGAGAAAGTAGTCCAAAATATCAAGAGTTAGAATTAATTGCTTGGAAACACTGAAAACGTGATTTGGATACATGATAAAATTTTGTCAACAAACTAACATAAGGAAAACACAACTGCTTTAACTACATGTGAGTCACAGCTCTTTTAAGTACTGAATTAACACAAACACACACACACACATACACAAATAAAAAACTAAAAAAAAAAAAAAAAAACAAACTTCAGCCAGCCACCAGTTAATTTGTTTAATAGTTCACAAATTAAATATAGCTTTACTTTTTCTAATCATACCTTGCAAGGAAGGAAAAGAAAATAATTTTAAGTGGTGAGATCTCTAATAGATTAGATACTTTTAGTAAATTCAGCATGTAAAGATACCTACCAGCTGCCTGTGACTGCATAAAACTTCCTACTCCAGTAAGGTTAATAACAGCAGCTTGCTGAGCAGATAAGGCCTGTTCTTGACTAGTTGAACCTTGTTCAGAGCCCTGAATTTAAAAAATAATGACTTATACAAAGGAAAAACAATATTGAGCTGGTGAAAAGAAATTAGTTTCTTTCCTGTATGAGAAAAAAATAGATTAATTGTATTTTTAAAAATAACATTAGAAAGACTAATAAGAGTATATAGAATTAGGTTGGGCATGGTAGCAGACATTGGTAATCCCAATTCTTGGGAGGCTGAGGCAAGAGGATCAGAAATGCAAAACTAGTCCAGGTAACTTGGCAACTTAGTGAGACCTAGTCTCCAAATAAAAAAGGACTGGAATTCGGCTCAGTGGTAGAGTAGTAACCCTGAATTCAATCCCCAGTACTACACATCCATACAAAGTAAACAGAATTAGCAAGATTTGAAAGAGAGGAAATGAAACTTTTTCAAAACTGAATCAATGCTAATTGTTTGATGCCATTTTAATAATTAAGATTTTTTTAAAGAAGACAGGGTCTCACTGTTGCCATAAGACTTTTACAAAGCTTCACTAAAGCAATTGGTTAAAGCTTAAAATACCCCTTGCAACTTAATACCAAAACTTSTTAGCTAGCAGAAAGGAAATAAAAGGCATACAGAATGTAATGGAAAAAAAAAGTCCCTATATGCAAATGGTATGAACATTTATGTAGGATATACCAAGGAAAATGCAAAAAGCTATTAAGTTTAAGTAAGAATGCAAAATACAGGTCAATATAAAAAAAAATCAATACTGTATACTAGTAGTAAACATGGAAACTGAAAATAATAGCACAATTTACAATCACAAAAAAAGATAGAATAAAAAAACTTACATATAAATGTATATCTAATAAAATATATACAAAATATATACATTAAAAACTTCAAATGTTGATTTTGTCCTACATAGTATGTCTGTGTTCATTGATTGTAAGACTTGCAAAACAAAAAAGGCAATTCTTCCTGAAAGAGATTGATAATTCATCAATTCCTTCAAAAATTACTCAATTCCTGGGGCTGGGGTTGTGGCTCAGTGGTAGAGCGCTCGTCTAGCATGYGCAAAGCCCTGGGTTTGATCCTCAGCACCACATAAAAATAAAGGTATTGTGTCCAGCTAAAAATTAAATATTTTTTAAAAAAATTACTCAATTCCTTTAAAGACCCCAAAAAGGTTTTTGTAAATATAGGCAAGCTGATTCTAGAATCTGTACGGAAAAGTAAAGAACCTAGATTAGCAACAATTTTATAAAAAAGAATAAAGTGGGAGGAACCACTCTGCCTGATTTAAGACTTATGACAGAGTGCACAGAGATCAAGACAGTAAGATTTTGGCTGAGGGGTAGACCACAGATCAATGGAACAGAACGAAAAATCCAGGAACAGATTCACAGTCAAATAACAAAGGTGCAAAAGTAATTCAACCGAGGAAGGATAGCTTTTCAACAAATGATAACAGTGCAACTGAATATTCACAGCCAAAATTCTTAGACCTAAGTCACAGACCTTACATAAAAATTAACTAAGAAACAGGTCATAGATTTAAAATAGAAAACTGCAAAATTGTTAGAAAAAAGCAGGAGAAAATCTTAAGAGACACATGGCTAAAGTTAAGAGTTCTCAATCACGACACCCATAGGACATTATATAAAGAAATTAACTTGGATGTGATTAAGTTAAAAACTCACTCTGCAAAGTACAACCTTTGCTACCACCCCAAATAAGTGTGTGAAATAACATTTTAGTTTAAAATAAAAGCCAGACATTTCAAAAATTACTCGAGTGGTTTTTGTTAGATAAAGAAATTACACAGACAAGCATGGAACTGATGTTAAGAAGACACTCCTGAACTTGGAATCCAATTTAGGAAATGAAAAATACAAAATGCAAACTACATCAATTTCAGAACAGAACTATTATAAAACAAAAGAAAAAACAAAAATGAAAGAACTATAGCTGGGACAAATCTCCCACTAAAAACAGTCCACAAAACTAAAGAACATTATAAAATACCAAATGGAAATACAAAAAAAAAAAAAAAAGGCACAATAATGACTAAACACACTGAATAACAAACAAAAATACAAATAAAAACACTTGGGAAAGAATTAAAAGAAAAAGACATAATTAATATACTATCATAATCTCAAGAGAAAGCAAAAAATATTAATAAGTCCAGAGTTAAAAGAGGCCATTTATTAACTGATGGATACATCAAGTACAT